AGGCTCAGCTTCCACCTTTCTACAGAAGTCTCTGCTTTTCAAGACGGGGGCTGTGCACAATGAAACCAAGAACTTGATTCTCTCAATCAGTTGTATGCTTTAATGAATACTTAGCATCAACATCCTTTCATGATGGATTCCTTTCATGAAGGGAGAAGAAACACAAGTAAGGCAAACATCTTTCTGCTTTCAGTATTCTTCCATTCCAGATGTTCAGAGCATTCATCCATCTCAGCAGATACATTTAAACCATGTTCCTTTTTCTGTGTGATACATTAAAACTATGCTTATTTTTCTGTAGGGAAAATAATAGTTTTGTGGTTTAGTGACATACCCCATCACTATTGGAGGGTTCTTTCAGTGTTGCTTTTGTCTAGACTCTTATATCTTAAGTCTGGATAGATGGGTAAATGCATTCCTAAATAGGAATTCTTTGCAATTGAGGACTGAGGAAAGAAAAGCCACCCCCATACTGGTCTAACATGATTCCACAGTGAGGAACACTACAACTTTTGCCTTCAGATCACTGGCTTTAAAATGCAATAACCTAGGAACCCTAAAGTCCTGCAATGTTTGTTCAGTTTGAGTGAATGCATTCTCTTCTTTTCCCAGGTGAGGATACACTTCATGCAACTAGAGCTATTCAGAGTCATTCCGAAATATGTTAGGACAGACTCAGTGAAAATTACAGGTCAAATGTCACATAGGCAGTTAACAGAATATACACTTTTGTGTCTATCTTAGGTTACAAATGCAAGATGTGGCTAGGGTATTCTATTGCTGTTATGAACAAAAATTCAATTGATTTTTTTCTGTTACCACTACTGCTGGGCTGCTGCCTGTGTTATGGTAATTACGGGTCGTTGTTGTTAATGGTTGTTTTTGTATTAGTAAAAGCCCTGGCTAGGGCGAGGTAATGGCCCTTCTCCGAGACAGTAACGGGTGGAGACCTTCCCAAACAGTGAGGAGAAGAGACTTGGAGGGGGGGGGGTTATGCAAAGTGACTCCAAGGACCAGAATGCTTTGTGGGACCCCGACTCCAAACACACAGAGAAAACCCCCAAAACAACGAGCCAAATAAGAGTTGAGAGACTGAAGTGATGTCTGGACGTGAGGAGCCGAGTGCTGAGCCTGCAGAGATGCGGAACACCTTCGGAGTCCCTCTTGCCCTGACCAGGGAGTCATCTCTGGTGGTGAGACCGGGCCGACTGGGCTGGGAGGACTAACATCTGAAGGGGACACCACGCCCTAAAGGCTCCCACGAGGACCAGATTCCCCAGTTCTGCCCCTAGTGGACACAGCTGTGCATATCCTCCTCTGAGTCGCCTTGGGAGACACGACCAGCCCTGCCGAGCTGCCCAATCCTGAGCTGATCACTTTTAATAAAGGCATTAAAAAGGAGAAGAAGTCTCCTGGGCCTGTTTATTTCAGCTGGGGCGCTCGTCCGGAATAGCCATGCCGCAAGAAGTCTCAAGACTGGTCATCTTAGAACTTCAGGACAGCTGGCTATCAGGACCAGAGGGATCGGCTCAGGAGCAGCGACGCAGAGGCGCACCGGAGCACTGGATTGGTGAGAAATCCGGTGGCAGAAGTGGGAGACGTGCGCATGGTTTTTCTTTTCTTGGTTTCTTCAGGTTGGTCTGCACGGCAAATATTATTGTACTAAAAGAGATAAATAAGCATAGTAAAAAGAGCAATCCTCCAAGTACACACACAGCGAGAAGAACTACCTTTTCCCGTACATCCTTTTTGAAAATCTCTAGGATCTCCCACCCACTGGGATCAAGTGTAGGAGTTTGATCTTGATTATTTACACATGCTAATCTTTTATTTCATTTGAAATGTTCTTAATAATTGAATTCTTTATTTTTAATACTGCCTGGAGACTGATGACTTTGTTTACATAGATATTGGGGTCCAAACTTGGCTTTTACAATTTTGGATTTTCTCAATTTCTATTTCACTTTCCCGGTTCTGTTTATTTTCTCCCAAATCATTACATATAGGAACTCCCAAACTTGATCCAGTTTCTTTGGGTAAAAAGAAAATTGGTTTTTTCACCCTAGCAATGCTGTTGCCAGACGAGATCAAACCTAGGGGTTTAGAGCTCCCCTGAAATGTGTTCCAAAGGGGGTTTATCTCTTTTCCAGTACACTCATATAAATACTTGTAACAAACAATTTTTCTTACCATTTTCACCATTTCTTTGCTTTTTACTAGATCTGCTGAGCTTGTTTCAGCAGCATCACATTCAAAGCACAACTAGGCTTCCCCTATAGGGCACTCTCCTAGGAGTGGCTGCCTAAAAGTGGCAGTATTCTAAGCTATCCAATACACTCTCTTATTTTTCTGATAAAGGACCAATTGGGAGGGGTTAACACAATCAGGGTTAGAACTGATGTGGACTCTCGACAAGGAGCTCACTTCTCTTTCATAGCGGGGTTGGTAGCACTCACTGCACAGCTCAGCTGGGCTTCCTAGAGCACCACCAGCAATCAGAGCCATCATTACTACCCTTCCCAAGAGTCCGGTATGGGTCATCTTGCACAGCCTGCCCACCCGGCCTGGCCTCTTGGGGAATTTTTTACTGAGAAGAAGCTTCCAAGCTCTTTAGAGTCCCTTCTACCCGCTTCTCTGGTTAAACCCCTCTTGGTCTGTTCCCTAACAATTTTGGTTTCCCCCAGGGGAGTGTTCTGTAGAGGACTGACCTGGAGTCTTTAGAATTAAATTGAGAAACTTAAACCGGAATTACTTATTTACAGTTTTAAACTTTTTACCAACACAGTTTACACAGAACAGTCTTGAAACATTTTAAGCAATGTTAGAACTCTGATACCAATTTTTCCCATACAGTTCAGTCTTTTTGACTCTTCCTCCTGAGAGCCAACTTTAAATCACAGTATACTCAGGTGAATTAACTTCTGATGTGGATGAATCCTTATCCAGTGCCCGGAGGTGAGTGGTGAGGACTCTGGCACAATGCCAGAGGGAAAAACTGGGAGTCTGGCCCAATGCCAGAGGGAGAATGGGGTGCAGTCCGGTCCAATGCCAGAATGCCAGAGGGAAAAAAAGCTGATGTTGAATCCTGGTCCAATGCCAGGGGGTGAGAGTGATGTGAGTCCAACCTTTTTCTTTTGGTCTGCGCAGTCAAATTAGTAATGAAGAGTACCTGAAACGGGCTTTCAAACACAGGTATTAATGGTCTGCTATTTAATGATTTCATCAAAACTCAGTTTCTCTGTTTAATTATATTGGTAATTTCTCTTTTTCCATAGCTTGTGTGTTTCTCTCATTAACTTCTACATACTCTGTATTTTGCAAGGAGTTGTATTTCTCAGCTAACTTAACTCCCAAAGTACTTTTATTCTCCTATTTTTCTGTGTATTTAATTCACTGGTTTTCTGTTCTATTTTTCAAGATCTTATTTATTTATCTCTTGCTTCTTTTTCTTACTTTCACTTACAGCTTAAATACTTCTTTCAACCTCTTACACTTAATTTTTTTTTTCCTTGCACCATTCTTTTACACAATACACTTCCCTCTAAGGAGATGTGGTAAAACTTGTAATGCACAATCTACATTACCTCTATTCTAACTAGTTTACGTTCACTCTCTCATTTCTCATTCACTTTCACACATTCCTCCACACCTTTAAGTCACAAACTTATTGCTAGAAAATCACAGGTCCCTATAGCCCCCCCTCACCTTGGGGTTGGCCCACAGGTCTCAGTATCTCTGGGCCTCTTGGAAGGGCCCTGACTCTGGTTGCCTCTGGTGCACATTCACCTGTGAGGCTGTCTGCGTGTCACTCACACTCTTACAGCTACGGCTCCCTCACACATCTGGGGAGCACTAGTCTGGTTTGCAGGTCACACATACACACACTACCACTGCCCCCTTCCCACCTGCCCAGGAAGTTGAGGCTGATTTTGCTTGTGACTCACTCTCACACACACAACAAGAAAACAATAAGGTACCTTTTACTTTCACACTACTTATTACAAGTTTAGTATTACTGGCCAGTTTTGGTGCTACTGGATATCCTTTCTACCTAGCTGTTTTTGTCTAACTTCAGATGTTTTTTCACTACACTATACTTTTTAGTACTTTGTTGAGAAAGGACTTACCTGCTCCTGTATCAACCAAAAATTCTAATTCTTCATTTAGGGGTCCCACTTCAAAGTTTACCAAGGGCTCTTCTAGATGTTGCATCAGGTCCCTTAAAGTGTAAAGCCCCTGACCCTCTACTCGTCACCTCTAAGGATCTTCCCTAAATTATCTTGTTCCCTGGCTATTGCCGCATCGAGACTGAGCTTTCTACAAAACCTCCTGACGCCTCCTGCCTTTCCACAGTAATAGCAATGTCGCTCTCTCAAAGGGACTTGAGGTGTCTCTACCCCTCTTGCACCTGACAGTAAAAGAGGCCTATCCTTGCCTCCTCCTTGGTAGTGGACCCACCCACCCTGCACTTTCTCTAGCTACAGCAACCATGATCTTAGCCTTGGCCTTTGCTTTTTCTTCCTCCCTCCTTAAATATACCTTCAATGCCTCTCTTAACAACTCATTAATGTCCTTCTCTTGCCAGTCCTCCATCTTTTCCAGTTTTCTCTGTATATCAGGCCAAGATTTGGTAACAAATTGGACTTTTAGTAGCATTTGACCTTCTAGGGTGTCTGGGTCTATTCTAGAGTACAACTGGAAGTTCCGCTTTAGGCGGTTAAGCCAGGCAGCAGGAGCTTCATCTTTCTCCTGCGTACCCTCAAATGCCAATTGGGTGTTAGTTCCTTTGGGAACTGACTCTTTGATCCCCCGTATTATCAAAGACCTATATTCCATCATGGCCTTCCTCCCCTCCTCCTGGTTAGGGTTCCAGCTGGGATCCGTTAGTGGCAATTTCTGCTCGCCTGATGGCACCTGGGGTCCTGGACGGTTATCTTTCTCCCATATTCTTATGCCAGCCACCCTAATCATCTGGACCTCTTCTGGGGAAAATAATATACTCAGGATAGATTCATCTCCCCCCATGTGTAGATATTTGGACCTAGAAATTGATCCACTTGGTTGGCTATGTCCACTGGGTCCTCAACTAAATGCCCCAACTCTTTCTTGAATCCTCTCACCTCAGAAGCAGTTAGGGGAGCATTCACAAAGCCAATACCTTCTGCTATTCCTTCCATAGGAACTTCTCTGAGGGGAAAGAGTCTCTCTGCCTTGGAGGTCTTGGATCTGGTACTACAGTACGGCCCATCTTCAGATGCCAAACTACTTTGAGGGATATCTGGGTTACCCTGAACGTTCTGCCCATCAGCAGGTGTATTTGCTGATAGCTGTTTACTGGGCGAGGAGGCATTTGTGCCCCAACTAGGAGGAGGTAAAGGGACAGCAATAGGAGGGGGAGAAGAGCCCAAGTGGATATTAAGTGCAGCTGGAGAAGGGGTGGAGAATGCAGCAGGTGGAGTAGGCACTTGTGGTGGTGCAGAAGGAACTGGAGGGGCTGAAAGGGGTTGTGAGGGAGTGGTCGCTGGAGGAGATACTGGGTTTATCATAGCAGAAGCTGAAGAGGTAGAAGGAGGAGTTTGAGCAGGTGGTAATGAGATGGCAGCCGGGAGAAGAACCGGACCTGCCATTTGAGGTGCTTGAAGAAGAGGATTATAAGGTGGAGGGGCAGAAGGAGGCAGATAATCCAGGGGATCCCATCTTTTACTAGTCCTATCATCCCCTCCTTCATTCCCCTCTTTCTTCCTCTGTACCTTACAAATTCGCACCCCTTCATCCCCAACAGCGCTCTTTAACCAGCAGGCTACATACAATAATTGCTCAGGATCAGTATCTCCTCGAGCTGTCAGATAATTATTTAATTGTTGGCACATCCACTTATCCTTTGTCCCACACCAAGGCCATCTTCCTTGCAACTCTAATTCTGGCCACACTTCCATACAATAATGCATCATTTTCACTTTATCTAATCCCTCCGTGGCCTCTATAGAATCCCATTTTACTAACAGTTCTCCTAAGGGACTATTGGGAGGTATATACCTCAGTCTCTTACCGGTCTTTTTACTATTACACCCTCCCATTTTACAGGTCTCAACAGTAAAAAATCCCAAAGGTGCCTTTACTGACCGATAATTTCAAAAAGAACCTTCTTTGAGGAGCTTCAGCCTCCTCCACTGGACTTCAAATTTCTGCCTGATGCTCAGGACTTTATACTGAAACAACTGCCCGATCTCTTGATTGCCCAACTTTCCCAACGTCAGGTCTTACATCTACTGGGACTTGAACACACGAAGCCTCAGCCTTAAGAATCCGGGTCTTGCCTGACTCCCTCAGTCAGGAAAAACAACTGCCTGATTTTTAGTTTGCCTAACCCGCCAATTTTTAGGCTTCACCATATCAGGACTTAAAAGCAAACCACAGCCTCCTTCGCTGGGGTTTGTGCGTGACTCCTGTGTCAGGACTTACTTTTGCCTGCAGGGCTTGTGAGCTACCCGAATCCTTCTTGGGACTGACAAATCTTACACAAATCCTTCTCGAGACTTACAAATGCTACCCGAATCCTTCTCGGGACTTACAAATCTGCCTGACTTCCCTCTTTCAGGACTTACTTTGGGTGCATGCCACTCATACAAATATTCCCTCCGCACGCCCGGAGGGGGGGCCCTTTATTCCCCCTTGGGAGATGACTCACTCACGCTAATTCCACGTGCTTCCCCCTGTTTCCGGCCGGCTTTCTCGCGAAAGCTCAGAAACGCGGTACTAAGGGGTCCACTCTCAGGTCGAGGGTCCGGCTGCTGGCCTCATCTCACTCACACACACATGCGCACATCTCCCACTCCCACCACCGGCTTTCTCACCAGTCCTGTGCTCCTCTGTGTCGCTGTCCCTGAGCCGATCCCTCTGGTCCTGATAGCCAGCTGTCCTGAAGTCCAAGATGGCCAGTCTTGAGTCTTCTTGCGGTATGGCTATCCCGGACAAGCGCCCCCAGCTGAAATAAACAGGGCCAGGAGACTTCTTCTCCTTTTTAATGCCGTTATTAAAAGTGATCAGCTCAGGATTGGGCGGCTCGGCAGGGCTGCAGTCCCCGTCGTGTCTCCCAGGGCGACTCAGAGGAGGAGGACATGCGCAGCTCTGTCCACTAGGGGCAGAGCTCGGGGATCCGGTCCTCGTGGGAGCCTTTAGGGCGTGGTGTCCCCGTCAGATGTTGATGTTCGTCTCAGTCTCGCTTCCTCCCAGACCTGGCCCGGGGGCTCTCGAACACAGGGTGAGGATCACCGAAGGTTTCCAGTGTCTCTGCAGGCTCGGCACTCGGCTCCTCACGTCCAGACATCACTCCAGTCTCTCAACTCTTATTTGGCTCATTGTTTTTGGAGTTTTCTCTGTGCGTTTGGAGTCGGGGTCCCAAAAAGCATGCTGGTCCTGGAGTCAGTTTGCATAATCCCCCCCACCCTCTCAGGTGTCTTCACTATTCTGGGAAAGGTACAACTTAGCCTCGGGCAAGGCTCTGCTAATACAAAAGGAGCAATTAACCACAACGACCTGTGATTACCATGACAAAACACGCCGAACCTTGGCAGGGACGGTGATCTGGCTGCCTTTTTGTAACTTTTTTCACAAAAAAATATTAATCGAATTTTTGTTCATAACAATAATGAATTAATGCTTAATGCTGCATTATTTGAAATTAATACACCACCAGTTTAACCATGTGTTAAAATACATTCTGGGGTTCACAAGTACCTTGAGATACAAATAGTGTAAATACATTAATATATGTTATTAAATAATTCATGCTTAAAGATAGAATGTATTTTATAGGTTTGTAAAATCCAAATGAGTCTCTGACCACAAGCAGCCCAGGGACAGATGTCTACTTCGGAATGTCGAAATTCCTGAAGGCAGCAGGAGAACAATAACCCGTTTACCTATGAATTGATGTGGCCAGTGTGATGATCATCGTCCTCCGGGTTAATCAGGAGACACTCAAGTGTAATCATTGCTCGGTTGATACCATCGATGGGGATAACAGAAGTTGCCAGAAAGATACATCTGAATACACAACTTCCCCTGACATGATCAGAGCCTGCCACGACTCAGGAAACAGCAATTGTCCAGCCCAGCACAGTGAAAGAAACTCTCATGCATATGTGAGGTTACAAAAGAAATTGGGGCTCCTCTATCTCAGGCATAAAAAAACTGTATAAAACGGCCTGGCTGGAAGTGGCATGAGTGAACGGGTGAAGGTCCGATGCGACGGAGGTCAGATCTATGTTCACCCAGCGCCGATCCCAGGCTCGACGCTGTATCTTTAGCTGTGGTGGTTTTGAGGACCATATTTTGGTCGCAGAAAAAGATAAATAAAATCTCTTCACATTTATTAATTTGGATTTCTGACTGATCATTTATAAAAACATTCATACATATACTCTCACATATCGATTATGTGCTGCATTTTGTGAAAACATAGACATTAATTTTTTCAAAACATAAACTCGAGGTACTGAAACTACTTATACATAGGCAGTAAAAGTACAATTAAGATTACTAGTAAAACCTAAGTGCCCAAGAAATGACAGATACCCTAGTTTTGGTGACTTTGAAAGGGCCTGATCTAGAACATAAGTACACTTTCTTAAAGACCACAGGGTTGAAAAGTGGTTCAGAAAACAGAAAGTTATCTCAATATCACTGTTGTATAATCACCTCTCCTTTTATTACCAGCTGGCTGAAGTTGGAATCCTGAAAAGTGGGGTCAAATAAGTGTGAACCCTTCCTCATAAAGGGGATCCATGACCAGCTGCATTAGAGTCAATGGGAAAATCTACCAACTGAGTACAGCTGTGTGACAAATATGTGGATTAACAGCAGCATTCTCAGGCAAGTCATGCTCAAAGCTGTTCATCACACAAGGTTTGGCAATTACCTCTGTTTTCAAAAGCCAGTTCAGACATACCAGACAACCAGATCCTGATCATCATGGTTTAAGGTGCTATTGGGGGTTAGGTTTCTTTCCTTTTGTTCCTATTTATTTATAGAATTTCTTTCCCATTAGTTGCTAGGATACCCTAACAACTGGGTACTTAAGGAAAACAAAAGAAGTGACCAAGCTTAGGGGAGAGGGGCAGGGATACCTCCAGAATTGGGCAGGCAAAAGGGCTGAGGAGTTGCTAGCTCTCTCCCTCTTGGCATTGCAGAACTGTCAAGCTGTTGCTTACTGCCGGGAGAATTCACTGTCACCGCTGGAGCCCAGTCCTGTACTGCTTCATCCTTTCTGTGGGTGAACCTTTGCTGTAAGAACAGCCATTGAACTTGGGCCTTATTAAAATCCTACCTCACTGTTATATATGTAGTGAAGATAATTCATGCTATAGAAATAGATATATGTAGGTATAAAATATTAGTAAAGTTTGAACCTATGCTTGTGAAACCACTCTGTCCAGGAACAAGAAGTTATTCACATTATAACTGGTTCCCGGATTGAGTTAAGATAAAATCAAAACCCTGTTCTCATATGAACAGAGTAGCCCTAAGCCACGGTGTCTGCAATTGTCTTTGTCAGGGCTAGAGGTATTCACATTGTAACCAGTTCCAGGACAGGCTCTGGGACAGCTGGTATCAGATGTAGGAGACAAGCTGGAGCCATCTGAAAGGATCTCCTCTGCACCTGGAAGATATCATCTGGAATTTCCCGGGTGATGATCAACGGGGCATCTCAGGAGGGTCACGAGGTCCTGCAGGTGGACTTGATGGAATCTGTACTACTCAAGAGATGGCATCACCTACTACATGTGAATAGCCCTTCCTCTCAGGCGATTAGACACTTGTCTAGGTTTTGGACACTTTCTTTGTCTGCTTTTACACATGTATGGACCCAACTTTACATGCCAAAAGAAACAAAGAATTCTGTGGTCATCTCTGCCTTAGGTAGAATAAACTGTATATAAGCAGGCTGCTGGAAGCACTCGGTGTACACCTTAGGGGAAACACTGTCTCTCTGTCAGCAGGAGCCCAGGGTCACCCAGCGGCTGCTCTCGGGGCTGACGCTGACTTGGCTGTGGGATTGTGAACTTTTCTATTTTTGTTGATTGACCTAATAAATCTTTGTCGAAGTTTTTTTATGATTTGGCTACAGATTTGATAATTTATAACACTCACTAAAAGAGGGACCTACTTCTATCTGCTTGGGTGCCCAAAGTTTTCAGCTCATCCCTCCCTGCCCTGTTGGGAACCAGTCTGCCACTATCCTGCCCCTGCTGCTTCTTCAGCACTGCTTCTAGTTTTCACTGCACTGTAGCCCTGCACCCCCTGCCTGCCAAGATGTCCCATGGTCCCAGCCACTGCTCTGGAGCTTCTGATACATCTTGTCTAACACCTGTGAAAATGGCCAATCACATGTTTTTAAAATTTGAAAAGTTTAATAGTAATAAAATGGTTATTAAAATAGTAATATAAATAGAGTAATAAAAATTTGGATGATTAGGACAATATGAGACAATAAAAACAAAGAGTTACAGACAGTCTGGGTACCTCTTTCTGGGCAAAATAAGCCTGAAAAAGGATACACATTAACAGAGGATTGACCCTTAAAAGCAATAACCTGTTGCATATTCATACATCTTGAAATAAACAGGGCCAGGAGACTTCTTCTCCTTTTTAATGCCTTTATTAAAAGTGATCAGCTCAGGATTGGGCAGCTCGGCAGGGCTGCAGTCCCCGTCGCGTCTCCCAGGGCAACTCAGAGGAGGAGGACATGCGCAGCTCTGTCCACTAGGGGCAGAGCCGGGGGATCCGGTCCTCGTGGGAGCCTTTAGGGTGTGGTGTCCCCATCAGATCTTGGTTTCCCTGGTTCTGTCCTGCCCGGTCCCGGCGTCGGGACGACTCTCTGCTCAGGGCGAGAGGGGCTCCGCATCTCTGCAGGCTCAGCACTTGGCTCCTCACGTCTGGACATCACTTTAGTCTCTCAACTCTTAGGTGGCTCGTTGTTTTTAGGGTTTTCTCGTTGCATTTTGGAGCTGTAGTCCTCCACAGCATGCTGGTCCTGGAGTCACTTTGCATAACCCCCCCCACCCTCTCAGGTGTCTTCTCTATGCTGGAAGAAAGCACAGCCTCAGGGAAGGGCCATCACCCCACCCCAGCCAGGGCTTTTACTAATACAAAAGAGGAGATAAGCTACCATGACCCGTGATTACAATAACAAAGCATGCAGAAACCTGGCAGGGACAGAGATCTGGCTGCCTTTTTGTAACTTTTTCTCACAAAAAATATATTAACCGAATTTTTGTTCATAACACATCTCATACATGATGCATAAAATCCATTCAAACAAAGGATTCTGTATGGTCAGTGTCAACTTCTTCCTCTGAATCCTCACAGCATCTTCAGGGCTGAGCGAGGCAGGAAGAAGTTAGTTTCTTCTGATAATAAGGGAGCAATAAATTCTTTTTCTTTGAAAGATTTGGGTGTCCTATGGCTGCTATCTCGGTGCAAGTACCTCATTCTTCTCTTTAAAAAAAAGTATCTTACATAGCATAGTTTCTATTTTAACATTATGTTATAACCTAAAACT